GGAAAGAGCTAAAGGGATCTGAAAAGTCTTCTACTGAATAATACTGCTAATAAAGGAGTCTTAAGGCTACTTCTGTTACTCTTATTCCACATGTGGCATTAAAATAATTATTATGTCAGAAGAAGGAAAAGACTTTCAATTTCTCTGCTTTGATATTATTTTTTTTTTTTTTTTTTTTCCTAGTGATCGTTTGCTTTATGTTTGGCTTAGAAATCTTGGGCTGTGTTTTGCCCTCATGTCCACCCATGCAAACACATCAAAGACAGATCAGGTTTCATGGGGCGTCCAACCCTTGTGGTGTCTCAGTCCCTTCCATTTGTTATTTCAAGCTTTTTGGTTTCTTGGGATGAGTAAACAAGTTTGGATCAAGTAGGGAAAAAAAAAACCCAGCCAGGCTAATTTTTCACCTGTTCCGTGAGAGGCGTCTCTCTTGGAAAAAAGGAAAATGTGTTTACCCTTTAGTAGGCAGGCATCTCGGCACGTTTTGAGTCCTGTGTAGCAAGCGAAGCTTGTTGTCAAACTCTCAGTGAGATCACCACAAGCAAAGGGGTTGAACCCAGGGTGAAAACTCTCAGAATATCACAAGAAAATATTCTGTTTGCTGTTTCCATGACAAGAAGGGAGCAAGGTCAGCCAGCTTCACCGGAGGAGTCTATGCTTGTGCTATATTTTCATTTTGCCCTTGTAGCCACCAATGGTAGGAATTAAATCACGTAGCTTGGGAGACATATAAGGACACCTATACCTGAGCTGCTTCCCCTGTACCCCAGCAAAGCCCTTTGAAGAAAACAGGCTCTTCTCAAGTGCCCTTGTTTGGACTTGATGGAGATGCCTGTGTTTGGATGAGATGACTTGTACCCTTGAAGACAGTGTATTTTCTCCCTGTGACTACAAAAGGTGGCAGAATGATGGGTTCAGATATGTCTACCTGCATTGTGGACATCTGCCTGGAGGAATGCCCCCCCTAAGGTGTCTAGAAAGGTGCCTGGGTTCTGGGGTTCTCCAGAACTATGCCTGCAAGAGCACATCCTTTTTCACACTAGCATTATGAACCTAGTTGGCCTGAATTGACCCCTAGATCTGCTGTTTAGGGAAACTCCAATCCAGCTGTGAAATTTGTGACATGGGGCAGGCCTTGAGCGCATTGGAACCATTTTCATATTCATTAAAAACACCGACAGCTGCTTAAAAGCTCAGCACAGCTACTTACCAAAGTCAAGTAGTATCTTGCCTTATGAGCAACCCCATTAATGGGACCTGCTTAAATGAAACCCCTAGAGGACTGGGATACTGTGTGTAGCAATATAACTAGGCAAGGATACTAAAATCTGGCTATGACTGGGTAGATACTTTTTTTTTTCCCACTTTTTAAAGATGATGCTTAGTTATTACTGTGGTGAGAAACAGTCAACATTGCAGCTGATAGTCCTTGACCACTCTCAGCTTCAAAGGTCCACGATGGCAGAGCGTTGGAGCATTATTCTGCAGCCCAAATGGCTTTAGAGGCTGTGGCTGCGAAGGCCACGTTGTGCTTCAGAACCTAAATAGGAGTGAGTTTTTTGTGACCAGTGGTGAGGCGGTGGTAGCTTCACGGAGATGCCTTCTCTTTTTGGCTGCTGGGAGGCAGGACCTAGGGAGCTGTGCTAATTGCCTGGCGAATGACACCAGCATCATCCTTTAATCATCTCAAGGCAGGGAGGAAGTTTGGTGGTTGCATGTGGATAAGTTTCCTTGGCTGGTGCAAACTGGTCTGGTCTGTTAAAGCCCAAGTCTGTTTGTGTAGGCTGTGGTCCTGCTCCCTTTGTGTATCTTATCTGCTTCGGTTCTCCATCAGGAGAGCTGTCAGAAATAGAGAGGCCCAAGTCCCTCCCAAACACCTGAGTGTTTCTGCACAGATGTTGCATCAATGCATCAATGCCAGCGGAAGGTCTTCTTCTGCTCGGAAGGCGCCTCCACCTTGTTTCAGGCTAGGTTGTAGCAAATTCCTGGCTGCTTTTTCACTTCCTCCCCACCATTTTGTCTTTTCTTTGGGCTCAATGATTTTCTCCTGGACCTTCAGATCATTAGGGTATTTTAACGGATTGATCTGAAGATGCAACTTACCCAGTTTTTCAGTCCACATCGGGAACAACTGCAGCGAAAAGGCTATTTTTTTTCCTGGTGTTATTTTTCTCATGAGGCTGTATCAGTTTGTTTTACTGTTGATTTCCACAGCTTAAGCAAACCCATTTGTCAGTAGGATAGAAGCAATAATCATAATAGTCTTGGGGTGCATTTAGTGAAGCTGCTGGCATTTCTCCCACTGACTTCAACAAGAGCAGGCTCCATTAACACCAGTATTAACAATGACTAATATTTCACATTGATACGATGCCTTTCATCCTGTGGCATCCCAGAGTGCTTTCTAAGATACAGCCAGCCTGGAAGATTAACCCAACATTGTAATGACTATGTCTGAAGGATAAATCCGCTTCAGTGACAGGACCTTATTGAGGTCAATGGCAAAATCCCATTGTCTTCAGTCAGAGCAAGATCAGACCTATAATGTTTAAGACTATCCTCTGGATTTGATCTGTTGAATGTGAGGTTCTTGTCCTTGTTATTTTAGTCCTTCTTAGAAGCAGGATGAGCCTCCACTCACTTCAGGGATAGATGGGAGTGTATCTTGCTGGAGTTGCACAGCAGACCATCCTGTGCCTATAGAAAGCAGTGAGTTGCCATTGTTTTTGGGAAAAGTCCTCAGAAAACGCCTCTTTCACAATCTCCTAAAGCAGGACTATGCATCCCAAGAGCAGAGCAGTTGGTATTTTGCATATGATAAAACAAAGAGCATAATTCCTGCCCATAATTAGTTGGCTCCATCTGAAATTAATGAATTTCATATACATGTGTTGGGCTGGTTTAATTTTAATTTAGCATGTGTTTGTCATTTTTATCACAATGAATTTTCATGGAGAAGGTCTTCCCTCCGGGTTTCTTGTTTCTCTACCCCAGAAACAGAGATGGGTCCATAGCTTTGATGTTTTAGGGACCACTTTAACTCTGCTGTGACTAGCCTTTGAAGAAAAATTTTCCAGCTTGCTGCTGTGACTGTGCTGGTCTCAGTCCTCCTCACATTTATCCGAGTCCTTATCTGTTTGGCACTCGGGTCAGATACTTGCCAGGAGGGTGAGACCACATACACTGGAATGATGTGCCCGGCTAACAGCTTGGATGGCATCTCTGAATCCAGTTGTGGGGCCGGCCGTGACTTTGTCCCCATCCTGAGCAGGACTGGTATTCCCATCCTTAAGTTTCACATCAAATCATGGCCTGGGCCGATCTGTCCTTAGCGATTGAGTGAAACATGAGAGATGTTGCTTTGAGGAAGTGGTCATTGTCCTGCAGGACGTGACACCATGCTACACAGGGTCAGGACCCCATGCTTGCTCTAAAAGCCAGCACAGACCCAGTGCCAGCACCAGACTGCGGTTGCCTTGCCACTGCCAGCTCCTGAGTGTGCACCTTTGCTGCTTCACCTGGAAATCAATTCTGGCCGCCCCTGAGCCTTGGTGTCACGATACAAATCCTCATTAGGAGCTGGGGAGGCTGGGGCTCGTGTCTACCTCCCTAGATCTGAGCTGGACTCACAGGGGATCGGGACTTCCAGGTTTCCTCTAGCATCGCTGCCTGGTGGGGCTCACGTGGGGCTGCCTCCTGGCTTTGAACTTGGGCAGCGTGTCCCTGCTGGCTGGTTTAAAACAGGCCAGGCAAAGATTTCCCATCCCAGCCACCCAGCTGGAGCAAAGGGCCTTCCTTGTGTATGTATCCCCATTCCCTCAGCGAGGACAGGAAGCCAGGGAGACGGGTGGTGGAGTATTTAAAGCCCCGTAACATTTGAGGTTTTTGCTTGTTGCTGCCCCAGGGCTGTCATTGGGCTGCGCATAGGCAGATTCCTCTTTCCTACCTGTAGCAAGCAGGGCTGCTCCCTCCGGTTCCCTTTATCCAGAGGTAGAGGAATCAGCCTTTTATTCACTCCTTTTTAGGATAAAGTGAAGTTTCCCATCACTGCTGGTACAAAGAGCCTGGAGTCACTAGTTCAGACTGAGATGATGAGCTTTGGGATGCCTAAACCGGAGCGGATGAGCCTGGTCCTTCCTCTCCCTATGCCTCCCTTCCCATGTGTAACAGGGAGCTATTGCATCCCTGCTCCCCAGGGAGAGAAATCCATGAATGATACCCATGCTGTGGGGAAAGGCATCAAACAGTAGCTGATGAGCAAGAAGTGAAACTTCGCTGTGATCTGGGAAAAGGGAGTGCTTTATCCCTTGTGCTGATTTAAGATCTTATGGATGAAGATCTGCTCAGGACTCTTGAAGGAAACACTGGGGTTGAGACAGTAGTTCGCAGTGGACAGCAGATCCATTCCCCCCCCAAGCCTTTTCTTCCTTTTGCAGAACATCCATCAGCACTGCTGTGTAGTCACATTTATTATGAAAAGTGGTGTTCAGCCCTGGGGAGTTTGCTGGGCTTTCCTGCCTTCTGCTATGGGTGAAATTCTGCAGAGGAGCCTGTGCAAGACCCCTGTAATTCCCCATGTAGGCTCCCAAGTGCAGATTTTTAAGGAGGTTTATGGATATTGTATGCATAAATCCCTTCCCAAGTGGGGTTTCTGGGGCTTTCAAAGCACCTGTACTAATGCATGTTATGATGTCGCTTCTCTATGCAGCAATAGGAGTTTCTTAGAGGAGGTTCAACAAACCTTTTCCTACCTTTCCCAACCCTGATGGGTGTACAGTTGGCCATTGCAGCTGCTTATATGCACGTAGAAGAATATAATGCGTAGGTTCCCTATAGATATGTCTCCATGAAAGTAGAAAATGCTCTGCCGGGCAGCACAGACACCAGCTTCAGCACCCCAAAAAAACCCCTGGGAGCCTTTAGATATAAAATCGGATCTGCTAAAGTCCATCTAAAAGGATGGTCAGAGCAAAATCTTTCAAAAGAAGAAAAATAAGACAAATACCTGTCACTTTTGTGAAGGGTTTGCCCAGCTCCCTAATGCCACTGTGAAAGTTTGAGACCCCTCGTAGCACATAAATTGCAGCAGCTCTTGCTGCTAATGGTTTTAGATCAGTCAGGAAGCCTTGGGGTGAGATGGTGTCTGTGGGGAGTATGTCAAGGTGATAATGACTGGTTTCATACCTAAACACGGTGCAATTACCTAATGTGCAGATAGCTGAAATATTTCAGCTGCTGCGAGTTATTTGGGTATGTTTTGCTCCTGTGAGGAGGCTCTGCCAGCAATTTTCTGTTGTCTTGTCTTAAAAAATTTCGACCGAACTTGGGATTTTCTGGTGGGATCTGAATTTTGGGATGAGGGGGAGAGGTTGTGTAGCCATGGCACACGGGGCATACAAGGGGAGGAGGGGGACTGCTGGCTGTTCAGCTGGTCCTGGGCACATCCCCAGGACTGCCCAGGCATGGGGTACGCGAATCCCATGGTGACGTGGGGAGAAGGGATGGAAGCACAAAAAAAATAATTGATTTTTGTTTAGATTAACAGACCCCTGACTATGAAGAAAGAAGGAATTCAGACCAGAAACCGAAAAATGTCTAGCAAATCCAAAAAGTGCAAAAAGGTCCATGACAACCTTGAAGACTTTCCCAAGAGCAGCTCCTTTAACCCTGCTGCCCTCTCCAGACACATGTCCTCCATCAGCCACATTTCACCTTTCAGTCACTCCAGCCACATGCTGACTACACCGACACCGATGCATCCTCCATCCAGCCTCTCCTTCGGACCTCACCATCCTTCCAGTATGGTCACTGCCATGGGTTAGCGAGAGACTCCCCTGCTGAATGCTTACGGTCTCAAAATGAGATTTACTTTATATACTTGCATTTTTGCAGGCGTGTGGTTATGGGTCTGACGTCCCGAATCAAATGGGAGGGGGAAAAAAGAATTAAAAAAAAAAAAAAAAAATGTTATTTGAAGGCGTAAGAGAGAAAAAAATTTTAAAAAAACCCAGAAAAAAACTACAAAAAGCACAAAAAAAGGAAAAAAAAAGAAAAAAAGAGAAAAAAAGTAAAAAAAAGAGTTTTAAAAAAGTGATGTTTGCCACTTTTTAAAGGAACTCACTATGGCGTCTATGTATTCTTACCCACTGAATCTGGATACCATTTGTGAATAAGCCATTCAGAACTTGCATTCTCTATTGGACAAGATCTCTAGTGCTGTGAAAAAAAAATAAAATAAAATAAAAAATGCTGAACATTACATATAACTTATATTGTAAGAAATACTGTACATTTGAGGAAGACTTTATTGCATCTGGGGAGCTGTAAAGAAAAAGGCATGAAGGACTCCGAGAGATTTTTTTTTTAAAGGAAAAGAAAAAAAAAAAAAGAGGACGGGAGGACAATTTAAAAACCAGAAAAACAAACAATGCAGACCAAGAGGAAACGCGGTCTTATGAACAAATGGACCAACTGCCAGTCATGTCTTCTCCTTTTATTTTATTTTTATTTTGTGGATTTTTTTTGTTTTGGTTTTGGTTTTTTTTTTTTCAATTTCTTTTTCATTTCTGGGGAGGGGGAGGGGCTGGCTAGAACGGTTTTGATGATGCATTAACTAACTAACTAACTAACTAAATAACTAAATAAATAAAACCTGTAGGGAGATCATTCATTTTGGGCCACGGGCCTTTTACATAGGAAGTACCAATGGTGTCAGGCAATCAGTGTTAACATGCGGACATTGCCAACAAGGGGTTGTCAGATAGCCATTCTCCAGGTCTATACGCATTGTGAACAAGTTCCTGTAATTGTTGTTTGTATGTATAATTCAATGCACCAAAATAAGAAAGATGTAGATTTATTTCATCCTATTATACAGACTGAATGGTTGTACAAATTTATTTACTGCTAGTGATAAGACCTGCTTTTTTTGTTTTGTTTTCTCTCACTTTTTTTTTTTTTTTTTTTTTTTTTTTTTTTTGGAGAATAAACTAGATTAAATTCTGTTGACTTAAAAGTGTTTTGTGCTTGGGGGTGGGAAAGTGAGTATGTTTCTCTATTAATTTTTTAAAAATTTGTTTTGATGGTATTTATTACGTAGATACCATGGATACGGGAATGTGTGTCTTTGCTCTCATGCTGACAACCAAAGCAGTGTTTGCGGTGGCTTCATGAAACGAACAAACAAATGCAGAACAAAGGAAAAGAAAAAATCCTCAAAAATAAACGGACTGCATGTTAGTGTAACCCCACTGTCCAGTGTGTGCTCCCTGTCCCTCAAATCGCAGCCCAGCTGCTGCCCCTGCCTGACGTCGGGCTGCCATGTGGGATGGGTCCCTTTTGGTCTCAGTCAACCGCAGCAGCAAACCTGCGGTGAGGACAATTCGGGACTGGGAGAAGTGCAAAGGTATGGCAGGGTCCTTGTGATCCCGCCTAGTTTTTGGGCAGTACTAGGGAAGACCCTGAGACTTTGGAAAGGAGCTGGAAAAGCACTTTCTGCTCTGCCCCATTGGGTATCCAGTGGTATAATTTGATGTTCTACAGTTGAGATCTTGATGTGAAATCAAGATGGACCAGACTCTGTCCCTGTGGCTGGAGTTGATGGTAGACAGAGGGCAATTCCCCAAAATTCGAAGGCCATCAGCCAGCCCCTTCCTGCAAGAGTTTTCTTTGAAATAATGAGATTTGTATTAATACTATTATTGTTGGGTTGGAGCTAGATGATCTTTAAGGTCCCTTCCAACCCACACCATTCTAAGGTTCTATGATTTCTGGTGGTTTAACCCTTAGGAATTGGTCCTCCTTTTAGTCTTAAGTATTTGCTCTTCCAACTTTTTATACCATCATAAAGGTTGTGTATTTACTTTCCAAACGAAGGGTTAAACTTTGTATCACCCCACTCCATTTGCTGGTGATTTAAGACAGAGGTTGCCAAGGCTGTGAGAAAATGCTTAAAAAAACCCAAACAACAAAAAATACAACCCTCAAATGTAAAAATCTCAACAGACATGACCTGCAAATGGTTTTTTTTTTTTTTTTTTTTTTTTTTAATGTGGAATGAAATAACAGAGTTCTTTCACCCAGAAATGTGCGTAGTCCGGCCTTTCAGTGCCAGGTGGATGGAAAAACATCAGTATATCTGATGCTATTTTGAACCCACTTTCTCTTGGGTGACAACTGGAGGAGGTAACAGTGGCATGGTCTAACCCTCTTCTGCAGGATGGCTCACGTAAGAAAGACCACTTTGAAACTTTCAGGATGATTATACAGAGGTCAAACAGTCATTTGATTTGGGATGGGGAGAGGAGAGGAAGAGGATTGATCTTTGTTTGAGCTTTTTCTCCCCTGTTTCAAAATGAACCTAGTTAAACCATGTCTACCATAAAGGAGGATTTAGCAGATGTAAGCGGAACAGGCAGTAATTGTTTTGTAATGTTGTATATTCTCTCCTTTTTTCTCTGTTGTCAAAAATGTGTAAAAAAAAGTCAGAACAAATGGCACACATTTAAAATCTTATGTTAATCACCTTTCTGCTTTCTCAATGAATATTTTAAGCATAAAGACTAAATGTCGAAATAAAACAGAGTGAAGAATTACTGAGATGCAAATGGAGATCTTGTTGGCTCCTAATTAATCATCTGCGAACTATAAAGCTATTTTCAATTAGTCTGACAAATCAAAGAATATAATCATCTTTGCTGATATTAAGCTTGAGAGATTATTATTTTTAATTTGTGATGCTACAACCTTTCCCTCCTTTTGCTCATCAACAGATTGCAGTTGGACTAAGATACTGATTCCAAGACCTCAGCAATAGTGAAAATTAGAGAAGGATTCACACGGCAGAATTTTACACTTGTCTATTACTGTGTTTTTATCTTTCCATTTGCTTTAGAGGGAACTGGCTCCTGAGTTTCTTGCTCTAACTTTTTTCCTAAAAACTGGAAACACCTTCTTCTTGCAGTTTCCTTTTGGTGTAGTTTTGTAGGTCTTGGGGGCACTGAGTGAGATGAAGCAGGATTGTGGCCAGCTCAGAGAATGAGCACCCTGAAAAGGACACAAATGGAGACACTCTGTGTGAATATACTCTAGGAAACACATACAGTTTGTCTAGAGTTCTTACATCAATTATCTTATACTCTGATGTCAGGAGCAGGATGATTAGGATCTCTCACATCACCTACCACCTGATTTCTGCCTGAGACGCTAAATTAACATGAGTGGTCTACCAGTTTCCCGGTTACGTGTTCTTTTTTTCTTTTCTTCTCCCAGAGCAAATATTCCGGAATTTTAATATCTTGAAGGGGTTTGTTGGTTTGTTTACTTTGTTTTGTTTGTTTGTTTGCTTTGTTTTGTTTGTTTGCTTGGGTTTTTTTTTTGTTTCTTTCCTTCACTTTAACACAGGAGAAAAACGTGGTTTACAGGAAAGCGCGAGAACTGTTGCTCTTGGGCAAACGCCTTCTGAATAGCAGCTCTGCCTTTCTTCATTTCTGAAATTGCAGAGAAGAGCTGGTGATAGGCAGGTTGGAGCAGGAGAGCCCTCTGAGTCATGGCTCTACTTCGATAATCTATATTGTGCAGAAAACACCATGGAAGTCATTAGTGGGGTCAAATCCTGTGGTCTTTTTGCAGGCAAAATGCCTCCTGGGAATTTGAGTGAGTAATAGCTGCTGTGCTGATATGACTGTGGTAACTATGTTTTACTCATGATCCAAGCAAAAGTCCATTGACATCAGTGGAAAGACTTGCAATAAGTAATGCAATAAGACTTGAATCAAGACCTATTAAGTACTAATTCCAGTGTTATCACCTTGATTCACCTGCCTTAGTTAACTTTTCAGCTACATTGGCCCTGTGTCAGTACACATGTGCTCACACAGACACACATGCGATACTGAAGGGATATTTTTAAGATTACCAAGCTTGATGCTTCAAGGTTGAAGAAACGAGACACGCTGTGATCACAATCTGTAAAACTTTAATTTTTCTCCTGTGCATTTGAATGATGAATTGTCTTAGGATGCACCTAGACCTGCATTTTGGTTCAGACTAGCAGCCTGTTTTTGAAGTGATTTCCCAATAGTTCCATTTCAGGGTGATGAGGTTTTACCTTGACTCGTGCAGCATGGTTTCCTTGGACCCCCACCTAATGTGCTGCTTCACTAGTGGGAACTCAGGCCACAGGGCCAGACTACAGCCACTCTGAAGTAATGTCCCAAAATATGGTCTTTGGGCTCTCAGCACAGATTGTTCTTCCCTCCGGAGTTACTCCTATTGCTAATGCACACATTTCCATAAATCACATGTTCTCATACTCCTTTTTGGAAACCATGACTCCTGATTCACTCAGGACTGGTTGTAGTCTGGGGAAGAATCTGAGTGGGTGATGACTGGACTAGCGGGAACCTGTCTTGTTTTTTGCAGAGTTTGGGAGGTGTTTGGGGTAACAGATCAGAAGAAGTTCTTATGGAAAAACCCTGTAAACTAAGCCTTAAAAAATGTCATATTTATCCCTACATCTTTCATAGAAGTTCTACACGGCATGGGGAATTTCAACCCAGTCTTGTCACATGGGCACAGCCACTAATCGTGTGATCATCCCTTTTGCGGATGCCTAATTGCCTAATGCATGAAGTCTGCTTTGCAGAAATGTTCCGTGCTTTCATTGGTATCTAAAGCCAGAGGATCTCATGCCTGTAGTAATCCTGCAGAACACCAAATTCTTTAAAAATACAGCGTTTATCTCCAGCTGAACTGCAAACCCAATGCTTCATTTCTTCCGCCTCTTCCCACCCCCAAATCCGGAGAACAGATAGTAACTCCTTCTCTCCTCAAAGATACGTTGCGAAGATAAATCCATCACTTGTGGAGTGCTTGGGTGTAGGTTGATGAGCACCATGGAAAACCCATCAGCTTCAGCAGGTATGCAGGAAGGACGGTGTGAGGAGTAGGCAAAACACAGGTCCACTGCTCATGAAGGGCAATACTGTCCCAGTGCCCTGAATGAGGCAAAGGAAAAAGATTTTGTGTGATCAACAT